CAGAGTGAACTGTAAACAGGTGAACAATTTAGTGAACTCACACCAAGTCTTCGGACAGAGTGCAAATAATAATAATAATAATAATATATATATATATATATATATATATATATATATATATATAGGGTATACCAGACTTTAACGGGGCACAAGCCGAAACGTGTTAGTATTGACCTTAAATGTCCTGAAAAAAAAGGAAAATAATATCTCACGTTTTTTGGAATTTATGAGCTTTTAAGTGCAATCTAGAGCTTTGGTGAAATTATGACAATTTTCGATTACTATGGTTAACTTTATTTTATTCATCTAAACTTTTCTACGATCACGATGAAAGAAAATATCACAATTGCCCCAAGCATTTCAAGAAATAAGACTTTTTGTTGAACTATGAATTTTTTTTTAAAAATAAGTCGACTTTGAGAGGCCCACCTTAAAAAATGTACAAAAAGGTGTTGGCAAGTTTCATTGGCGCATTTAATCAGAATTGTAAAATGGTAAAACACCGCCGAAAACTTCAAAAAATTCGAGTGAAAAAATAAAAACCTAAAAATGGTATGAATTTTGCTGGTATTCAAATTCAGTTCACATGTTTCTTTCTCGCACGAAGAACTCTCTCTTGTTAATTTGAACTAATTCAAAGCAAAAAATCATGCCATTTTTAGATTTTTATTTTTGTACTCGAAATTTTTCAATAATAAAATTATCAAGTATTTTACCATTTTACAATCCTGAATGAACGCGCTAACTTTTGATGAAATTTGCCAACACACTTCAGTACATTTTATATAAAGGAGGGCTTCTCAAAGTCGAACAATTTAAAAAAAAATAAGTTCATAGTTTAACTAAAAGTTTTGATTTTGAAAACTTGAGGCAATTGTGTTATTGTTTTTTATTGTGATTCTAGAAATGTTATTCGTGATTACGGTTCCAAAGTTTAAACGAACAAATTTAGTAAAAAATATCTCTAATAACCGAAAAATGGTGATTTTACCAAAGCTCATAATTTCTGAACTTCGATAGATATTTTTTTTTTTCAATTTTTTTTCAGGCCGATTAAGGTCAATACTATCACCCTGTTTCGGCTTGACGTTAAGATCTGGGACATCCTGTGTATATGTGTGTCTTTTAGTCAAATCATTAAAATAAAATACGATAAGTAATGAATTGTTCGTTTTGTACATTTTGACACTGTATGTGTATCGTAAATCAGCAAGTTGATACTAGGAAAAATCTAAAAGAAATAAACATTGTTTTGTAATAAAACAAAATTAACACCAAAATTTCATTTAAAATTAAAATGTAAACAATTTTATAAAGTGATATAGTATGTTACACTATTTTTCAAACAAAAGTCAAACATTGAATTAAGCTGAACTTGCTGAATGACAAGGTGTGACGTACAAAATAAATAGTTCAAGTATTTATCGTTTTTTATTTTGACAATTTGGCTGAAAAAATCTCTAGAATTATTCCACGATTAACAAAAAATCTATATATACATATATACATATACATATATATATATATATATATATATATATATATATATATATATATATGTGTGTGTGTGTGTCTGTGTGACGAACTTATACAAAACGTGCAATCATTGGACTCACTAAAAATATTATTGAATATTCAAGAGGTAGATTCTATGTATTATTCTTATGTAATATGTTCTTGCATGTAATGGCGTATCAAAAATATATAGAAATGTATAGAGAAGCGATGAATAATACACGAATAAGTCATAAAAAGTATGAATTCATATCATATATATCGTATCATAGTTTCATGTTAAAGATTTTATTTGAACTATACATAAGCGATATTTCGAGCGAAAGTAAGATTATTGCATTTTGAATCAATTTAAAAAGTTACCAATGATAAATTGAACAATATTTCACATCCAATACTTTGGTCACATAAAAATTGCACATTTTCCCGTTAACTAAAACCCGTTGGTTTAATAATAGTTTTTCTCATTTTACTTATCATAATTTTTGTCTTTGGAACAAACAGTTCTGCTTTGTTTAATTTTTATTAAAATACAATAAATTATATAAAATCAATAAAAAATAACAAATACTAAATGATTTTGAAGACCTACTGTTAACAGTCTATAAGATAATCATGATAAGTTTTATAGATACTCATTTCATTGGTGTTTTCTCATAACGTTTTTTTTTCAATTTCAATTCAATAGAACATCTATTGTTTTTTGTGAAGGTGCATTACATCTAACCATTGCTAATAAAAAGTTGTTTTCAACGGGTATTAAATAAAAAATAATCAAGAAATAAATTACTTATTTCTTGGTACAAGGTTATTTGTGTTTATTTTTTGTGGATTTTCCTGATTTATTTAAAATAATATTATTGCCTGTTACATAATATTCAAGACAAATATACATTATGATAAATGAAGATACTTAATGATTCGTGAAAAAAAGTCCATATAGTGTACAATTATATTCAAGATAATTTATAAAAACTAGTGGTGTGTGACATTGCGTCTTAAGGTAAATTGCTGGAACTTTCCGTATTGTGAACAAATGTTAGAAGAGCTAGTGGGGGTGCATGGCATTGTGCCTTAAGGCAAATTGCTCGAACTTCCCGTACCGTTATTGAAAATTTTGGTACGCAATCCAAAAAAAAAAAATACACAAAATGTGTACACATTATGAAAATGTGATTATGTCTAATGATCATTTTTGGCCTCCAAAAGGCATTTTTTAAACTTATTTTTATTGAGAGTCCATAACCGCTAGATCTGCCTTCACAGCAACTAATCAGCACGTTTCCTTATCAATAGGAATCGAATGTTTTTTGAATTATTCAAATCGGTAGATCCGTGTTCCCGAAATTGTCAACGAAAATTTGTATTCGCGCACACACACACACACACATACATTCAAACTGTTCACATACATTCCAAAATGTTCAGAATCCTTTGAAACGTAAAGATATATAAACATTTTCATTTTCAATTTTTTTTGTGATTACTATAACTTGCCCTACGGGAAGTTAATAAAATTGATTACATGCTATTACGGAATTCAAAATTAGTAAAAAAAGCTATAAAAATCTGATATGATCTTTGAGCACGTTTTCTCTCTAACTCCAAAACCGTTGGCAAAAATGAACGGGATGTAAGAAATTATACATGTTTGTTATATTATGCTTATAGGCCATGAAATTAAAACTGCAACTGTTCTATAAACTAATCTGAAAAAATCGATTAATCCTAGCCACCAACAATGAGGTCAAAAATACATAGCCATACATACATGATTTAATGCAGATTCATACTCTTCTATAATTTTACGAAACGCTATTCTGCATAATGAAATTCATGCGTTATTCTGCATAATTCTGGTCACCTCTATTTTCTTTTTACAAATTTTTACCTTTAGATTGCCTTTTTAACTTCCCGTAGGGTAGTTATAGAAATGGGTCAAAAATCAAAAATGACAATTTTTGCATTTCTCGACGTTTAGAAGGTTTCTGAACAGTTTGGCATACCTCAGAAAAAATGGATGTGTGTGTGTTTTGTGTGTCAGCATTTTTTCGTTCACGTTTTCGGGCGCACGGATCAACCGATTTGAATGGTTTAAAAAACGTTCGATTCCTATTGATAGGAAGATGTGCTGATTAGTTATTGGCAAAGGCAGGTCCAGCTGATACGGAAATAAAGAGCAAAGAGTGCAAAAAATAGAAATCGAGCTTTTTGAGAGATCCGTTTTGAATGATCTAAAAACATTCAATTTGTAATGATTGGGAGAAGTGGTGATTAGTTTTTGGCAAAGGCAGGTCTAGCCATTTTGGAGATGCCGAGATATCAAAAAACTTTCTGCTTGTGTTAACGAAACAATTGCTTTTAAAAAAAATTTAATTTTTTTTTAGTTTATCGAAAATAATTCAGATTCCAATTTTAATTCAGGTTAAAGTCTAAAGCTCACTTATGTACTTTAAGTGAATAATTTTAGCTTTGTAATTCAGTTTATATAATTCTTATAAAATATTAGACGATATTACAGAATTTATAATAATCTATTTGTAGACATTTAATATTCTTCGAACAGTTTGTTATGGTACGTGAAGTTCCAGCAATTTGCTTTAAGGCACGATGTCAAACACCACTAGTTTTTATCATTCTTAAGCATTCTAATAAAAAAGCGTAAGCATTAGGGATAAAATTTCCAAAATGTATCTATCACACATGCGAAATAATAGGTTGTCAAATATCTCCCTTCCGCCTTTTCCGAGAAAAAAAGCGGAAGGGAGATATTTGACAACCTAATATGTTATGTAAGATTTAGATAGCAATGGCAACACAGATTTTTTTCAATTGTCTTACCAAAATGTAGGTTTTAGTTAACTGAACAATCAATAAAAACAAATCGTAATTGATTTAAGATATAAAGCGTTGCGAATTCTAGTATTATATTATATTCGCATACTATATATTTTTGCTAAGTTAAAGCATAATATGCTATGTTATATTATAACTTTAAAATCAACAAGTAAGTTTTTTTTAGAGTTATGCACCCGTAGAGATCGTTCCGAACACTGATGGTACACTAGATTCGAAAATGTTGTTGATCTTTTCCTAATCGTCTCAAAGTTCAAATATCCCCATTCTCGCTACGGTTGTAAATTACGAATCCTCGCGCGCAGTATTTGCAGTTTATTGAAGTTGGCCAATGGGAAATCGCCTTGAAACCAATATTTCGAATTACAATGGAATAACACTAAATCTGCTACCGGGAATTACAATGGAATAAAACAAACAACAAAATTCGCTACCGGGTCGCGCGTCTTCTCGTGTCCCTACCGGAGCGCGGGAAATGATGAGAATGACAACGCGCATTCGGCCCGAGTGGCCGAGTGACAGCAAATTGCGAAATATAACAAGGACAATGCGGACGCATGAGGCCACACCTGTGTGTGCATGAGCTTTTCCACTTCCACCAGAAATTTGAAAACAAAAACTGGAAACCCATGCAAATTAATTCAGTGTTATGATGCGCATATGATGTCAGTACATTAATATATAAAGTGATAACTCTTTGCTCTAAGCACAGTGCCTTCTAAGCAAAGGAATTGATAACAACTTCATCAATACTCTTACTTACAGGTACGTTAATTTTTTTTAAATTTTAACGTATATATATATATATATATATATATATATATATATATATATATATATATATATATATATATTTGTTATTGTTTAAGTTGATTGATGATTTTATTTTTCTGAACTGAGTCACAATTTTTCTAAAAAAATATTAATTTATTTATATTTTACAAATATTTTTACTATAGTTTCGGGGATATGGAAGTTTTCCTATGTACTCACAATGGTAAACAAATTGTAGTTCATAGTTGGGAACATTTTATATCCTCAAAATGTAGAAAAATTTTGTAAATGATAATTTAAATACATATTTTTTTGAGAAAGAAAGAGGATTTCAATTCAGAAAAATAAAATCATAATAAATATATATATATATATATATATATATATATATATATTAGGGTGGTCCTTAAAATGGTCATTTTCGAATTTCCTTGCTCCCAGGGCCTCAAATGGTTACAAATTGATAGAAAACAATTCTCTGAAAGTTTTAGCTCTTAATATTAACGTTTAGATAGAGCGCAATTCAATCAAACTTCGTATGGAAAGAGCATGGAAAATTTTTTGAAAATTTAAAAAAAATGTTTTAGGTATAACTTAGCGACAAATGAATGAGTTGTTTTCATTCATTTGTTCGCTAAATTACATCTAAAAAACATTTTTAAAATTTTCCATGCTATTTCCATACACAACATTGTTTGAATTGCGCTCTATCTAAACGTTAATATTAAAATTAAAACTTTGAAAGAATAGTTTATCAATTTGGAACCATTTGAGTCCCTGGGAGCAACGAAATTCGAAAATGACCATTTTAAGGACCACCCTATAGAAGTGTTTTTGTGCAGACATACAATAATTAAAAAAAAAAATAATGAAGAAAAATGTCTTCATTTTAGTAGCGAAGTTATAGTCTTGATTTGACTCGTCGATTCTTGATCAGACTCATTTACCATGCTTTGATGAAAAGTACCTTTATAAAGTTTTTCATTTATTTTTTATTATTGATATTTATTATTTTTTCTTGCTTTATAACTAAGTGTTAAATTAATTAGTGGTCGTTCATTTGTTTTTGTTATTTGTATGCACTGAAGATGAACCAAATCGAGACTCGAAACGTTTGCTACTACAATAAAGACATTAAATCTTCATTAAATTCTTTTAATTTTTGGATGGTTGCCCAAAAACACTTAATCATATATATATATATATATATATATATATATACATATATATTTGAATATTCTTGAATTTGATGTTGATATAATATATTTAATTTGAGTTAAAAAGTCGGGCGTTACATCAATATATATATATATATATATATATATATATATATACAAAATATATAAATATATATATATACACATATATAAATATATATGTATGTATATATGTATATATATATTATGAGCTGTTTTCAAAAAATCTAAAATTTTTCAATAAATCTGAAAAATCGGGCTGATCGAATTCTACACTTGTTTATACTTATCAAATACTTCTTACCTGACGTTTTTCAAAGCTTTGTTAACATAAATTAAAATAAGTGATTGTTTTATTGTTATAATTATTAAATATTGTTAATTATGAAGTTTATATTGTTAAATATGAACTATTATTATTATACTAATAGTTTTCCACGCCAAGATTTTCATTTAACACGACGCTTGAGAAAAATGTTTGAACTGGCTGGTCATTACTTTTTTCACGAACGTCGACCAACGATCTTTTTCTCCTGAACATTGTAACATACGAATTTAAAATTTAAACTTTTTGACCACGTGAAATTTTTCAATCTAAATACCGAATTTAAATGTAGAGATGTTAGACAAAAAATCTTAATTGACAGCAATAATCACATTAAATTAGGATTAAATAAATCAATGGATTCTTAATTTAAAATTTTAATCAAATAACTATGATAATATATGATCGACCAACAATCTTTTTCTTTTGAATAGTGTGACATTCGAATTCAAAATTTAAATTTTTTGATCACCCGAAACAAACATTTTTATATAAGAGATTTAATGTTTTCTTATTATTGAGACGGAATAGATATTTCAGATAGGATATCTCTATATTAGATTACTCTATTTCAAATTGCAAACTATTTGGAAATCGCATCTCAATTTAGTATATTTATTTCTTCGTAATATTTCACCCAACATTTAAATAATTGTCAAAGTAAATAATTAAAATGAACATATGATTAACTTATACAGTATGATTCACTTAACTACCGGTTTACTAAAAACAGCAGGGACTACTATTAAAATACTATGATTTATTGTATTATAATATCGTGTATGTGTGTATCTATGAAATTGGTACATTTTATCGAAACTTGATTCACGCATATTCTATAAGTATTCTAGATCTTAATAGTATTATATAGGATGAATGGTTTATTATTTTCTGCTTAGACTCATTGCTGCAATCATTTATAAATAAATTAGACGTTGTCGCATTCTAATGAACAAAGCGACTATATCAATGCTATTTTGAGATTTTCTTTGCCAATCATTTATATATATATATATATATATATATATATTTGTATTTTTTATTGCTTTAATTTTCATATCCTTTACTGGAAGATTTATCGTATCTTAATATTGTGACACAAACTGAAAATCTAAATGAAATGCCTTGATTCATATGTTTTACACTAACTCGTCCTCGAAGACGGTGTGCGTGATAATAAAATCGCTTATTTAATCATAATTAATGTAATTGTATTATTTTAAATGGTTCTTATAGAGATCAAGCAATTTTTGTCAACGTCATTTGATATAATAATTTATTATTTGATTTAATCTTTTTAGATATCTGTTGCGGTGTTTCATATAAAACTCGATTGAAATTTATTTCATGAACTTATAGTTGCTACTAAATTTTAATAGAGTCAGTAATTTTGTTGACTTTTGAGAATTTTTTATTAAGCTTATATAAATATTATATTTTTCAATTATTTTGTATTTATTTGTGTTCTTATAAATATTGTCTAACGAGTTCTAGAAGGACATACTAGCTTAACATAATCGTGAATACCTACCTCCATTGAAAATATTGTTTCAACACAATACTCGAGCTTTCGCGATTTATGTGAATAGAAAATAAAAACAATGACATTAGTCGTTTCTTCCATTACTATAAATATCAACTACATTAAATAACAATAATGTAATAAATTCACACTTATGTGCGACATTTGTATTAAACTGCTACTGAAAAGATAGGTGCGCCAAAGTTAATGGTATAATTGCTTCTCAAACAGAAAAGAAACATTCTTTCATATTTGTTTATTTACGCCTTTTGTGGTGTCATTTGGAATTATGCAACAGCTTATTTGATTTGTTATGTTTTGCAAAAGTGTAAAATGAGTTAAGACATTACCGATTTTTTTTATATCTACCAAGCATAGCTTTGAGTTTCGCAGAGTTACGATTTACGAATTTATCTTGAATGAGTGCATGTTCGACTTTTTTGGAAATTTAATTTGCACTAATTATGAAATCTAATAGGTCTCACTCTTAAATCTGAATTTTTTTAAATTAATTTTGTTTTCGATTTGTGCATAAATCTTTTTAGAAGTCACATAAAATTTTATATGCGTTCTGGATAAATATACCTTTCAATATCTCGTGTAATGAACATTTGGCGCACAAGCCTGCTTTAACATTTCCTTCTATTTTTCTAGTAAATTATTAAATACTTTAAATAATATTAAAATATAGTTTTATGGTCGATCATTATATCAACATTATATGAAAATTCGGTATTGGTAAAAATGATGTTTGTTATATTAAATATTATGCATACATACATATACATATTTGAATAAAGAAATTCCAAAAATATTTTTACCATGTTATGTTTTTCAGATCAAAATGAGATCCTTCCTCCTCGCTACATTCGCAGCCTTGTTGGTTTGCTCTGTTTTTGCTAGACCTCAAGAAGATAAATATACTAGCAAATTTGATAACATCAATTTAGATGAAATTTTGCAAAGCAATAGATTGCTCAACAACTATGTAAACTGCCTTCTCGACAAAGGCAGCTGCACAGCAGAAGGAAAAGAATTGAAAAGTAAGTTCTTAGTACGATTTTAATATTTTCCGATTAATTCAATTTTATCGCCGTGGAATTAAAAAAAAGTTTTATAAGTAACGCTCAATAGTAATAAAATTTGTTAAAATTTGCGCATACTATCGAAATGTATTTTTCAATCTAAAATTGCAGTTTTCAGCAAAAATCACTTTAAATTAGGATTAAAATTTATGAATTCCGAATTTAAAATTATGATCATACATAAGTAAATAATTTTATGCAAATTTATATATACATCTTTGCACTCAAATTTTTATATTTGATCTTATTTACCTCAATCGCCTTATGTAACGCGTATTATAATTATATATCCGATAGTCAAGATGAATATTAAAAAAAACTTGCCGGTTTATGATTCGAGGACGGTAATGAATTAATTTTCAAGGCCTAGTTTATTTATTCATAATATTGCATGATACAGTTCTTTATAGCTCTAGAAATTGACGTTTTTTCCCGATATTTATTTTTTACAAATAATGCACGTTAGATTGAAATCTCTAAAAAATCTATAACGATTTATGTCTTACTACGTAAAAGATTTTGTATAATGGGTTGTGTTAATTATCTGCGATAATTTAATTACCCTTGAGGTTTCGCGTGAAAGCCATCTTAGCTCGACATTTGTTATTATTTGTGGCAATAATTAATTAACCAAAATGCACATAAATTTTAATATCATTGCCTTCTCTGTCTTTTATCAATTTTGACTTCCTTGAGCTTTTGTGGTATTCTTTATTTTTATACATCGTTTATACTACAAATCACTATTATTCAAAAACCCTAAATTGGATACTACCACCACGTATTTTGTGATGGTCAAATATAGATGAAATATATGTTTCCAATTGAAAATATCTTATTTCGGGCACTGCGGTGTGAATAGGCAATGAGAAATCTCTCATCCTATTCTTTCCTGAATCGAGTTGGAGTTTAACTCATGTCAGTTGACGGACCTACCCTAGGGAAGTATTACCTATTATTTCCAAATTAATTAAAAACGTCGTATAAAGCTAAGTGATTCTCGATGATTTATTTAATATTAAGATTTTGTCTCGTATCAAAATCATTTAAAAATAACGTTATACTCGAATTCAAAATTTAGACCATCATTAGCCAAAAAACGTACATATATATTCTTTATTACATAGAGGATCGCATAACTCATTTATTTGTCAACTGCCATGACCTTGAAAGATGAAAGAAGAATTGAATAATATTATTTCCAGTAGATTTAATGTAAAAAAGCCGAATGTCACTTGGACCATCTCACAAATAAACGGTTATAGACTCTATTTAATATTCTAAACATTGCCTGGAAATTGTTTTCGAGATTGTATAATCGTTTCGACCATTGAACGTGTTTTTATGATATTACGTCAAATAAATATTATCGGTTTGAATTTCTCGGAACAGAGGAAATAATGCCGAACACACTAACAGAACTAGTTTTTTTAACGAAAAATAATGCGCGTACTTAAGATCCCACGGTCAAAGTTAGATTTACTCTATATCGTTATAGTGGTATTTGTACACGTGTGATTTTGTGTACGTATTTGTATATCTCTATATTTATCATGGCTAATAATGCTATATATAAGATTGCAGAATAAATTATGCATTGGTGGAATTTTACCCTAGTGCAGCATAGCGCGACATCAAAAGGAAACAAATTAATAACGACGTCAATTCATAAGTTGACATTATATAATGCCAATAGATGAAATGGTATTATTAATTCTTTTTCAACCAATTGCAGATAAAAACTAAATAATATTTTTTAGCGTGCTTATCCATCCATAAGGTCGGTTTCACTTTTTTTAAAAATTCATTTTGATTATGTAGAATCTTCTCGAGTGATCTTTGAAATAATTATCTGTGTTCATTCATATGCAACTGGTGCAGCGTTCGACATGAAATCATTGCATTGGTTATTCTTTGCACGCATTTTGATTTGAATTTAATCGAAATTTATATTGTTTTATATTGTTGCATCAGCGGAAAAATCCTTTCGATTTAGTAGTTTCCTTTTTAGAACCATACTAGACATTAATCATTTGTCTCCGCCGTTTTTCTTCTAATCTAATAAAAATGGAAATAAAAAATTTTCACTGTCGACGCTTTTGAATATGAATATGTATATGACTCTAAATCTTAAAAGAAACATTGTTGGCACGTTATTCTATAATAGTTTAAAAAAGTTGTTTTAATTCGAAAATGTGGGATACATTTTATTGACCATCTCAGAACGCAATTTTTTAAATTTTAAGTATGCAACTGGATGTTACAATATATTTACATCATAATGCAATATTTCACAATTATTTTAATCGAAGATTTTATTTATAAATTATTATTTTTTGAGAATGTACTTGAACTTACTTTCACGTTATATTACTATTTTATTCGTACCTACATATTGTTTGGCATCTTCGGTGGGACCTTCTACATATTTTGGGGTGTCATTGGTGATTCAGCATAACAATATTTACTATTTGTTTTTTTTTTTATTATTTTATGGAATAATTTGAAATGGTTATTTGAAGCAATAAAATATATTGGCACATGTTGTCCTTGTGAATATTCTATAATAAATAGCAAATAATATAAATAAAATGATTAATTCAAATGTGAAATAATGATTACTTAAGTGTTGTGCGCGATTATATTATTATTCTTATGAGGGTTTCGAGATATTGATCACATGCGCGTTCTTCCGTAAAGAAACGACAATTATTCTATAATCATAAAAACTTTTATGCACATTTAGGAATACGTTATGAGCCTTGGAATTAATTTTGTCCTCGAATCCTGTACGTGAAAGCCGTTGTTAATTCGATTGATCAATTTTTAATTAATAGATGTGTGAATTAATTTTTATGTGGCAATGTAAATGCACAATTTTATAGATTTATTATTATCAATGTATATGTTTTATTCATGATTTTGGTAACAGATTATTTAAAAAAATGTATTGAACATTGTCACATTGCAATATATTTTAATGACTTTATGTTCTTGTAATTAATCAAGTGGCTTTATTATTGCAGAAGTCTTACCTGATGCCTTATCCAACGAGTGCGCTAAATGTAGCGAGAAACAAAGAGAAGGAGCTGAGAAAGTAATCAGATTTTTCGTCAACAACAAACCAGAAGAGTGGAAGAAACTTTCTGCAGTTTACGATCCAACCGGCGAGTACACAAAGAAATATAGCACCCAAATTGAACAAGTGAAGAGAGGCGAACCCGTTACAGTTTAAATTTCCAAAAAGAGATTTCTCAAAATATTGGCAAGTCATTTAGGAATCATAGTGTTATTTTCACCTGTAGATATTTCTGTTTTTAATAATAAAAAAAATGTAGTTGTAGGACAAATAGAGCATATTTAAGTAAAATAATGTGTTTTATTCATTGCGACATGTACTGTACGCATTAAAAGCTAAACATACATTCGCATGATTATTTATAAATTGATATTAACTTTTAACTTTAATCCGAATTTATATTGATATTGGGGGAACAGATCTATATTTTGTATGATATTCGAACTGAATATTCTTGTAAGCTGTGTTCAGAACTCCTTATCTTTCCGTAGGGTACGTTATAGTAAAAGCAAAAATTTTATAATAAAATTCTTGCATAACTTAAGTTTTAAAGTCTTCCGATCATTTTGGCATAACTTTGAAAAAAAATAGTATATGTGTGTAAGGATGTATGTGTGTATGTTCGGATGCAAATGTTTGTCCACCATTTCGAGAGCACAGATCAACGGAATTGAATGAAAGTTTTCGATTCCTATTGATGGGGAGACGTGCTAATTAGTTTTTGGTAAGGCAGGTCTAGCCGTTTCGGAAACTCGGAGAAAAAAGTTCTTAAATGGCAATTCACTTTTTGAGAGCACGGAGCTTCCGATTTCAATAAAACACATACTTGTATTAACAAAATTCTTGGGAAGGCAGGTCAAGCGGTTTCGGGAATCGAGTGAAAATTAAAAAAAAAAGTCATTTGCTGCGACGAAATGAATTGAATCATTCAAACCGGTTCAACCGAGTTTCCGAAATCTTCGACGCACACATACGAATACACGCACACACACACGCACATATATATATATATATATATATATCTATATATCTATATATATATATATATATATATATATATCCATTTTTCTTCAGTATGCCAGAAAACTTTGAAACGTAAAGATACATAAACATTTTCATTTTCAGTTTTCTGCGCTTACTATAACCAGTAGGGTAATACTGGAAGTTAATAAAATTATTGAATGGTGTTTAAGTATATAGAATTAATCATGCTAATAAATACAAAAATAACAATCTTAATTGATGCATGAATGTATAACACATATACTCATCTATATGTGTATATTTATATTGTTTAAACATGTATATATATAAAAAAAAACTCGTATATATACACATATGTAACATATTGTTTTCCTCTGAATGAACCTCGAGTGAACTGAATGTTTATTATTGGTTTAATAAGAAGAAAATATATTCCTACATCTTTAAATGTTGAAGATTGTTTGATCCTCATTGTCACCTTCGTCTCTTACCAAACTTCGTCGCCAACCTCTCCTTGGATGGCATTATTAAAATTTTTGAAAAAATAAATAGTTAAAGATTCGACTTTTGTTAAATTGTTTAACGTTTAACTTATTATTAATATCATTAATAATATAATAATAATAAGTTATAAATATTATTAATATTATTTTAAATGCAAAAAAAATTAATTAATAAATTCATTAATTAATTATCACATTGCGGTAATTTATTAATAAATTAACGCATGCACCTTGCACATATATAATTTTTACCGCATAATTATGTCAATAATCTTGGCTAATTATTAACGTATGGCTAATATAAAAGCACAAAAAAATAAAATTTGTTCCTGCGCGCGCTTAACTCTACGTTTTCTTTACGAACTGTCAATGCCCCCATCGACGTCAACAACTACATAATAGAACGCATCGGAAAATCAGAGCTCTATTATTTCAAAACTGTTTGGAACGTAAGGAAATTCCACGAATTTTTGAGTTTACGAAAAATCGGTAACAATTAACTTTCCGAGGAGAAGTTTGTTTTTGCCAGCAAATTCGACTTGTTGATTTTGTTTTCTCCATATTTGAATTCATTATGAATCATTTGAGAACAAAATTGGTAAAAGTATGTGTAGGCATGTATGTGAGTCGAAATTTGATTTTTTTATTGGCGTTCTCTCACAAACGCCTTTATTGATGAAAATTGATAAAGATTTGCGTCGATAACTTTCGGGGGATGATTTAGAATTTTTGCTAAAATTTTTGTTTGGCGATTTGAATAAGACTTCGTATTGGGATGGAGTTTATGGTCTATAAACGTATATCCAAAATTAATATGTGCTTACGACGTGTGGTATAATTATACAAATTTATTAAACTTTGGAAGAATGAGCTGCGATTTTAGGATAAAAATCGTGTGTGATCTAAGCCCGAGTTCGGAATATAAGACTGTTTGAACGATGACAGTTGAAAATCGCATTGGTTAATATCATAGATAAACAAGTATAAATGGTTAATATTTAAGGCAAAAGGCTGGAGCTTTCCCGTACCGTAATTTAAAATTATGAAAAGCTCAAGAAAGAATTTTGATTTTTTTCCAGTATTTTTAAAAATTTTGAGAACATTTGAAAAATTTGAATAATAAAAAAAAATTTAAAAAAATTACTTTTTTCAAAGTTATGATATTTTTTTTAAATTGAAAATTAAGATTTTTTTTCTATTTTTTTGAAATTTTGAAATTTCTTGAAAATTTACCCATTCATGTCGGTTGATGATCCATCATTCTGTCGAAAATTTCTAATTCTCGACCGCAAAATGGCATTATTTTAACTTTTTTTTCTGGATCTCCAAAACCGCTAGATTTACAAAAATCTTGGAAATCGTTGGACGAACCTCTGCCAAATCTAATCAGAATCGAATACTTTTTGAATAATTCAAATTGATTGATCTGTGCTCCCGAAACCGTAGATGAAAATTGTATCTATGCATACATACATTTATACACACTCATCCATTTTTTCTAAGGTATGCTAAAATGTTCAGAAACGTTCGAAACGTGAAGATATGCAAAAATTTATTCTATTTATTATTATAACTCCTCCTTCAAAAAGTTAAAAATTATTATAATTCAGTAAGTAACCTGAATTAATATATTACAAATTTCCATCAAGTCTTATGCAAATGTAAAATGTATTACACTTAATAAATTTCTGAAGACTTCGTAAAATTGCTTCATAAATTAAAATATTTTTTTAAAAAAACACCAATATTTTTATTCTATAAAAATCATGTGCATGTGTATAATTTTCCTAAATTGAAATTTATTTCTGCGACCATAAATGAACACATCAAAATAACGTATTAGCACAAACAAAGAGACAATTATCATAACAGCGTTTGCGGAGTGAAAATATTTACAGAATTTTATATCTTTTTATTTATTTATTTATAGTAGCCAGTCAGAAAAACACGATAAACTTTACTTCGGGACTCTTTTGTTGTATTGCTCCGACAAGAGCGACGTAGAGCTTTCTCCATCAAGCGAAATTCTTATATTATGATAAACATTCGGAAAATTTCAAATGCGGTGTTTGGCTGCGGGACAACAATTCACACTTGATAGTTGCGCGTGCGGTTCAAATTCTTATTAGTTATACTTCAAAGAATTAGTTAGACTTCAAACAATTTGGATAAAAATGTTTTCATTCCGCTTTTCTTTGAAGTCTGCTTTTGCTTTGTTTGGTTTTCTTGGTTTGTTTGGTTTCATCGACATAAATCAATTGATATATAATTACATAAGGGGGTATTCGGGAGTAGAGGAATAAATTTTGGGTCATTTTTAAATCATTGTGAAAAAGAAACAATCGAGTTTTTTACCATATTTTTTTCTATAATTCATTTATGAATGTTACAAAAGTAAAAAAATGTAAAAACAAAAAAGTAAATTTTAAAAATTTGCAGTTGAAGTGGGGAGTCCCAAAAAATTGACACGTAATCATGCCTACGATGCCTTCTAGTAATCCGAAATGAAAAACAAAAGTAGTGGTGTATGGCATCGTGGCTTAAGGCATATTGCTGGAACTTCTCTCAGTGTAACGAAATGTTCGATTAATAAAAAATGTTTTCAAATAGATTATTATAAATACTGTAATACTTTCTAATATTTCTAAGAATTATATAAATTGAATTAGAAAGTTAAAATTATTTATTTAGAGTATATAAGTGAGCTTTAGAACTTTAGCCTGAATTCAAAATATTTGAATTATTTTCGTTACAAAAAATATTTTTTTTGAAATGAAAGTTCTTTGAATCATTCAAATCGGGTGCTTAGTTCTTTTAAAAACTGCATTTTTTGTACATTTAGCTTGGTATCTCCAAAACGGCTGGACCTGCTTTTGCCAAAAACTAAACACCACTACTCCTCGTCATTACGAATTGAATGTTTTTTGGATCATTCAAATCGGATGCTCTGTTCTCTCAAAAACTTGATTTCTATTTTCCGCACTTTGGTTCACATCTCTCCGCAACGGCCTTTGCTAAAAACTAATCAGCACTTCTCCCTATCAATAAGAATCGAATGTTTTTTGTACCATTCAAATCGGTTGATCCGTGCGCCCGGAAACGTGGACGAAAAAATGCGGGCATACAAAACACCCACACATCCATATTTTCTGTGGTATGCCAAAATGTTCAGAATCCTCTGCAACGTGAAGATATGCAAACAATTTCATATGGATTAAGTTAGAATTTTTTATTGACAAACTGGCGATTGTTTGAAAAAAAATGATCATTTTTCTTATCACTTTTTGAGTTTTTTGTGTTCTTCTTTAAATAGTAAAAATTGAAATTTGAAGATGAGACTACTATATACCAGAGAGTAGTCTATAATAAAGACACACTGACAAGACAGTTTTGAGAAAATCGCGATTAAAGTTTCGCATAAGGAAGGAAACAGAATAGGATTATCATGGTCAAATAGCTGTATCCCTGTGTATGCTTTAAAAATATGAAAAAAAATTTTATCTTTATTTTTATATTTATATTAAAAATTACCCCTTAGGGGGTATTCTGGTCTAGAATTAGAAAAAACTAGATTTTTTTTCTTTCATATTTCAAAGTTTAACTATTCATGAATCTTTGTAAATCGGGATTTTTCAAAATTTGAATTATTTTCGGAGCAGTAGCTGTTTGAGCACGATAATCCTTTCATGTTTTTTTTCCTTCGCGTAACTTAAGACACATATTTTTCGATACGATACCCATGATTTTGCAACTTTTACTGGACAGATTTTCTTTAAATTTTTAAAGTCTCTTCCTCGATTATCTTTCAAAATTCCATATTTATTAAAAATTCGAGAATATCAAAAAATAAATTTCAGACAGTCCGTGTTTTGCAAAAAAAATTGACGTGCACGTAGTTCATGTTATTGTAGATTAATAATATATATACATTTTTTCTTCCAGAATGAAACCTTTATGATTATTTTGAATTTTTATCTTTTTTATTATTGTTTTTTGAAAATAATTAATTAAGACATGAATATTAAATACAATAACATGTTTTGTCAAAGATATTTGCGTATTTAATCAACTAAATAATGAGATACATTTGTTGAGGAAATCCCAATTTTAGCTTAACGGACTTTGTTTATAAGAGTTCTCTTCGATGTTAATGACTCCACTGATGCTGAACTTGTGACGTCAATTTGGTCGAGCATGATTTATAGCTAGTCATTTCAAATCGAATATAATTATATGTATTTTTAATAGTTGATTTCTTCCTGTTCTTGCTAACGTCTCGAAGGTGATGTTTATGTTTTCGGCAAAAATTTTAATTCGATAATTTTATGTTTTTTTGACATTTTAGATAATTTTGTATAGTTTCGATCTTTTTGAAAAGCAAATGTTTTGATGAAAATTGCAGCACCGATTTAAAAAATTTAAAATTAAATAATGGTTCACGTCGATTATTATTTGACTGATGACTTGGTTATTGTCCAAGCCGTTTGTTTGCAATTAACAGATTTATGAATCAAATTTTTACTCTAATTTCACGTGATTTGCTTCAAAGCTTAGAGTTGACTTAAATTTTATTTATTATAAATTTAAATATTAAATGTTAAAATTATTGTTCAATTTTTAAGTTATACCGAATGTTAATAACATGACTATTTGAACATAAATATTTTATACAATGTGATTGTCGGTGGCATTTTGCTTATGGGCAATTCCGGATACGTGCAAATAATTGACTTAATCATTAACAATTGAGATTTATAGCTAGTTAGATGAAATTTTCAACTGTCAATTTCGAAAATTTAAATAATCAATGCGATTTCCAATTAATGACTTTCTAGCAGACTTATAATATCTGTTATTGCAATAATTATAGAGTACGTACCCGTAGACCATAATTGCATACCTAAATAAATTTTCATTTTTAAACTACATTTTGTAGGTCTCTAATATTTTAAGATGATCGTTAAGACTATGAACTATCACTGTACAAAGTTCAATCGATTTTTTTTAACAATAAATTACTAAGAAACTACTTGGCCAATCTTTACCAAAAACGAATCAGTACGATAACCAACTGATATTTTTAGAACAGTTTTCGAATTTTGAAATTTGGTTCAGGATATTTGATGGGATTATAAAATTTTTATAGACAAAAGGTGAAATTTTTGCTGCATACACATACATACTTTTCCAATGTTGGTATCAAACTATTCAGTACGACTTGAAACGTCGAGAAAACTAAAATTAGGAAGTCGGTTTTTATGACAGGAATTTAGACTTCTCCTTCGAGAAGTAAATAATAATAATAATAATTGTACAGGTCGTGAGTTGAGATGATAAAGAATTTTTATTGCGTTTCTGCTTACATTGTCCAGTACACTGAACGCGCTTTTTAAAAATAATTGCTTCTGATACCATGGACAATCTCGATTCCTTAAATTAACTAAATCCCATGGAGCACACGTTTTTATTTAATAAGTGATAAAAATTGACGCAATAAATCTCAATGTTGGTTCATCGCAATGACAACCTCGACTTTTTAAATTAACCCCTTGAGCACACGTGATTATTTAATAAGTGATTAACGCAAATTCTATTAAATACCTGTTGTTATTAAAGTTAAGATTTTTTTATGGTACTATTGGTTTATAAATAAATTTCAGTGGCATCCAAATTCGGATTAAATTTGCGTATGTATTATTTTGATAATGTTATTTACAGTCTAGAAAATGACATACACATGATTTCCTCGAGCTAGGCTATCAAAATAAAATGTGCAGTCATGTTCTACGTCTGTAGGATTATTAATAGAACACGAACGTTTGTTAAATCTTATGCCTGACTCGCAAGGCGGCGATCAGCAGTTTCTTTTGTGTGATCGTTATAAGAACATCAAAATATTTATAAGAATCCAAGTTTAGACAATATTAAGTGTAAGTTATAAGTAATTAAGTACAATGAACGTTATTCAACAAATTTATTTTGTAAAGTATCTAAAACAGAGTTATTTTTTGGTGAATATATAACGTGTTATTGCTCAAGACTTCTAGCTCTCGAAGCATATCCATGTATATGCTGAAAGCAAATTCATCTCTTGTAAATAAATCAAAACTTTTATTCACAATAAATAATGTTACACTTTTTAATATACCATGTGCATGTAAGTTATTTTGTAATTAATAATATGTAAACACTAACTTTATGTAATTAATAATATGTAGTGTAGAGTTTCGTTTTGTTTTATAACAATGTCATTTTGTCGATCATTATTGCAAAGACGGAAAAATCTGTGGAAAAACATTTTGTTTTAAACAGTAGTATATCAATTTTATATAGTCGTATATATGAACAGAAAACTTCGATTTTCATATTTTAATTATTGACAAAAAATAGGTATCAGTTCATAAATAGTTCTATATCAATCTAGTTTCTAGAAAATTCCGCAGATGCGCTTACGTACGCTTAATGAATATTAATTAATTATTGGCATACAGTTTATATTTTTATATGTTGTATTTTTAAGTACTTTATATTTAAAAATTTTAAGAACAAAAGGAAAGTGCTTAGATATGTTTGCTTGTTAATGTTCGTTTATATTAATTTAAAAATTAACATAAATACACAAAATAATTTTTAATTAATTATAATTGTAGTTTTATAATTATTTGAAACGATTAGATTTTTTTTAATTAGACAGATTATTTCTTGCCTAAAAGCTTGATCATTATTTGAAACATGTCAAGAGTGACTGATGTGTCAAATGCGCCAGGCTTTGTGATATAAATTGCACTACAGAATGTGATTTTTGATTCATATTTATTTTTGAATTTCATTGACTTTAATTGCGTTACTTATTTGTTTCTATCAACAGCTGACTTCTGTCAAACTCAAAAAACACGTTTTACAATAATCGAACAAAATATGGTTTACTGATCAACACTTAACTGTTAATGTTGTTTGTCATCACTTCTATTTTTGTAGTAGAAGAAAATAAATCAAAACTACACATAACCGAAAAATAGAGAATTATGAGTTTTAAGCTCTAGGTTATGTGAATTATATAGAAGTTTGTGGCTCATAAGTTGTTACACAATATTACAGATATTTCTCAAACTAAATAAGTTGTCATTATATTTAACAATATGCGAAGACGAAATTTAAAAAATATAATCCATTTACATTGGTCATCAAAACAATTGTAAGGTAATGACGCACTTTTATTCTGTTTATAGGCTGGTGTGTAGGTATTTACCAAAGTTATTTTGGGTATTGAATAATGTTTAGTTTAATCTTAGAAATATTATACAGCGCAATGTGTGGTCTTCAATCGAAAGTATTTAGTTAGCTTTTCACTTTCAAGCTTTGAAAATTAATTTTCGGGCTAATCAATTGATTAGTTTGTCTCTTCATATTCTTGCAGAATTTTATAGTCACGAAACTTACTCTATATACTTACATATTTATTAAAAACCTGTACGCGGTATTAACCATAATTGTAAATTCAATTTAATTAAAATAATTAATTTTGATTATATTAAAAAACAAAGAGTTGAATAGTATAATATTGGATGATTCTGTGTTGTGCTAAGATCAACTGATAGAGATATTGAATAGTTGTTCTTAATTTATGCATGTTACCAATTTAAATGTTATTTACTTATGTTTGTTTTTCTTTCAAATTAATATTAACAACATTTTTTATTTTTGGTTTTATTTTAATTCTATGAATACTGATCATGTTTTCTTTATTTTTCAGAATTTCTTGTGATGCAATTGAAAAAACTTAAATAGTGTCAAGAATAGGGGTTTTTGTTTATTATTAATACATGGACAAAATGGGCGCTTTACCAAGCCACATTGGAAATGAGGATAATGCAGGACAAAGTAGTTCGAGCGCACCATGGAATTCACCTGTATTTAAATTTCCAACTACTTCACAAGACGAAGACGAAGACAGCTCCAAGGAGGAAAAGCAGGAGTTTTCCGATAAGCTATCAAGAGAACGCAAGCTAAAGATTTTTCAAAAAAAGCTTTTAGAGAAACGAAAGCTACGCCATGAGATTATAGCCAAAAAGTCCGACGAAATGAACAAATTGCGGAAATTAGTGAATGATTTGACTAATAAAGTGGAAGTGCTTGAAAATGAAAATCAACAGTTGCGAATGGGAAATGCCACTCAAGTTGAAACTAAACGAGAGGGTACGTTTTAATAGACAATATTATAGTCTAATTCATATAATAAAACTGTCAAATTTTTATTGTTGTCAAACAATTCAAGTGATCACGAAGAGTTGAATTTGATCTTACACTGGAACCACGTGTTGTTCTTCCTCATTTTTTTAAAATACAACGTGGTGCATCTTGGGCTTCGAAATTGTTTGGTCGGATTTTTGAAACTAGTTTTTTACTGACATCTATCGTTCTTGAGCGTTGATTGAAAATATTGTTATTCTTCATATTTAAAAAGGGCATCAATAAAAAACAAATGCGACCAAAATAAATACTATTTAAGCTTGTATGGATATCTTCTACACGTGAATAAAAATTACTCGTTAACCAGTTAATTGTGATTGACTAGTGTTATATAATAATCATTGAAAAGTGGCAAAATTTTGTGTAATGATGTGTATATTCGTCACGCTTATATATAAGTTAAAATTGGCTAATTAACTTGTAGTTTTTGAGAAAATAAAAAATATTCTGGAAAACACGTTACCAGTTCGCATAAGAGTTGTTCTGTGTATGATGATAACGTTTTAAAGATTATTTATAATTAAATTAATAATAATTAAAGTCCCTATAATTTACTGCTTTACTGGATATCCACTCCATAGCTAAAAATTGATTTTTTTATATGAATAATATTTAACTTCCCGTAGGGTAAGTTATAGTAATCGCAAATATGTGGAAAATATTTTTTTTTATATATCTTTATGTTTCAGAGGCTTCTGAACGTTTTGGGGCCTACCTTACATTAGAAAAAATGGATGTGTGTGAGTAAGTGTGTGTGTGTGCGTGTGTGTGTGGATACAATTTTTTGCCGACGATTTCGCGAACACGGATTAAACGATTTAAATAATTCAAAAAACCTTTTACTTGTATTGACGAAATGAACAACTGGTGAAAATTTTGTAAAGGCAGGCCAGCGTGTTCGTAGATCCAATAAAAAAAAGTGAAAATCAATGCCATTTGGCGGTCAAAACTGAACATTAGACTAGGCATACGCACAGCGTATTATCATATATTTTATAAAGATAATAATAATAAATACAGATTTAGTGTACATTTATATGGGTTCCATACCAATGTTTACACGTTAGACAACTACGCGGCGCTAATGCGCTTTGATATTTCGACTCCAAATCGACTATGAAGCGCGATTGCTTAAAAAAATGTTCAAAATTCTCAAAATAAATCAAAATACCAAAAAAATCAAATTTTTCAAAAAAGTCTTTTTTTTCAAAAATTTCAAAATTTCTCAAAAATCTATTTTTTTCAAAGTTTTGGAAAGTTTTTTTTTAATAATTTAGTTTTCGGTACGGAAAGTTCCAGCAATATGCCTTAAGACACGATGCCATGCACTACTAGTTAATTGAATATATGCGTGTGATGAAAAAGTAAATATTACTAATAAAAAATTTAATTTTACAAAATAATCCTGTCCTTTTCAACTAACGTAACTTATTCCGTAATTCACGAATATACTTGCTATGATTAGACTTCACAAAACTGTACGCACTTTTAAATAATCCACAGTTCACTGGTTAATTTAATTTAGAAGTTCGAAAACTTTATTAAATAAAAATATCACTTTTATTCATATAACATTTTACATGTCTTGATTATATAATTTATATTTTAATATGCTCAAACAACATTATTATTATTATTAATATTATTATTAAAAACAATTTTACGATATTCACAATAATTATTATCACATGGTTAATCTAATTATTTTTTAGATGTGAATAATTCCGAAGAAAATGCATCGAAAATGGCGCAGACAATGGAAATGCTTGAAAATGCCAATGAAGAATTGCAGTTGGTCACAGTGGAACGTGACGCATTGAAAAGTCAGATAGAAGGATACAGAAAAGTTACGAAGTGTACTAAGGACATGCTGCAGATAAGGGACGAACAATTGGCCCAGGTTAGATACGGCCTGAATATATATTCTTATATATAATATATAATAAATATTGCTAATATTTATTTATTTATTTACTTCTTTAGTTGAAAGCAAAATTGGCGCTAATCGAGTCATCAGTAGCAAATTTTGAACAGGAATCAACGGTTGCAACCATTGAACATGAGTGCCTCACCAATTTGAAAAGCGAGTATGAAAAGCAGTTAGAAAATATGAGGGAATTGAAAATACTGTATGAAAAACGCTCAAAAGTATTTGCATATAAAGAAATAAAATTCGATACTAAAATGGCTGAATATAAAGTTCTGCTGGAAGACCAGACAGTAAGGTATAAGAAAATTAATTATTTTTGAGCAAACACGCAATGGAATTCAATCAATAAATACGCTAACAAACCAACTTTGTTTGTTAGCGTACTTATTGATTGAATTCAATTTTATTTTTAACTTCCCGTAGGGTAAGTTATTGTAATCGTCCAAAAATCGAAATCGAAAATTTTTACATTTCTCGACGTTTTGAAGGTTTCTGAACATTTTGGCATACCTCAGAAAAAAAGGATGTGTGTGTGTGTGTGTGTGTGTGTGTGTTTTGTATGTCCGCGTTTTTTCGTCCACGTTTTCGGGAGCACGGATCAACCGATTTGAATGGTTTGAAAAACATTCGATTCCTATTGATAGGGAGATGTGCTGATTAGTTTTTGGCAAAGGCAGGTCCAGCCGTTACGGAGATATGGAGCAAAGAGTGCAGAAAATAGAAAGCGAGTTTTTGAGAGAACGTATCAACCGATTTGAATGGTTTGAAAAACATTCGATTCCTATTGATAGGGAGATGTGCTGATTAGTTTTTGGCAAAGGTAGGCCCAGCGGTTTCGGAGATACAGAGCTAAATGTTAAAAAATTGCAGTTTTTGAGAGAACTAAGCGTCCGAAAAATGGCTGAATATAAAGTTCTGCTGGAAGACCAGACAGTAAGGTATAAGAAATTAATTATTTTTGAGCAAACACGCAATGGAATTCAATCAATAAATATACGCTAACAAACCAACTTTGTTTGTTAGCGTACTTATTGATTGAATTCAATTTTATTTTTTAACTTCCCGTAGGGTAAGTTATTGTAATCGTCCAAAAATCGAAATCGAAAATTTTACATTTCTCGACGTTTTGAAGGTTTCTGAACATTTTGGCATACCTCAGAAAAAATGGATGTGTGTGTGTGTGTGTGTGTGTGTGGTGTTTGTTTGTATGTCCGCGTTTTTTTCGTCCACGTTTTCGGGAGCACGGATCAACCGATTTGAATGGTTTGAAAAACATTCGATTCCTATTGATAGGGAGATGTGCTGATTAGTTTTTGGCAAAGGCAGGTCCAGCCGTTACGGAGATATGGAGCAAAGAGTGCAGAAAATAGAAAGCGAGTTTTTGAGAGGAACGTATCAACCGATTTGAATGGTTTGAAAAACATTCGATTCCTATTGATAGGGAGATGTGCTGATTAGTTTTTGGCAAAGGTAGGCCCAGCGGTTTCGGAGATACAGAGCTAAATGTTAAAAAAATTGCAGTTTTGAGAGAACTAAGCGTCCGATTCAAATGATTCAAAGAATTTCTGCTTGTTTCAACAAAATAATTGATTTTGGAAAAAAAAAATTTTGTTTCTAATTTTTTTTTCAAAAAATTTTTTTTATAATTTTGGATTAAAAATTCAAAAAATCACCCAGGCTAAGCACAGTCTAAGCGCCACTCTGGTACAAATGTTTACGCAAGTGCGTTTAGACTGTTTATGTAGGAGCAATTTTCCAATTTTGTGAGAAACTATTGAAAAATGTGAAAATGCCGCCAAGCTAAGCACAGTAAAAGTGAAAATGTCGCACAGAATTATTTGCAAATGCGTTTAGACTGTGACTATGCGGGAGCACTTTTTTAACTTCCCGTAGGGTAAGTTATAGTAATCGCAAAAAATCAAAAAAATGAAAATTTTTATATCTTTACGTTTCAGAGGTTTCTGAATATTTTGGCATACCTTAGAAAAAATGGATGTATGTGTGTGTGTGTGTGTGTGTGGTGTGTATGTAGTATGTATGTATGTATGTATGTATGTACGTGTGTGTATGTATGTGCGGATACAAATTTTCGTCGACGATTTCGGGAACACGGATCAACCGATTTGAATAATTCAAAAAACATTCAATTCGTATTGATAAGGAGACGTGCTGATTAGTTTTTGGAGAAGGCAGGTCTAGCCGTTCCGAAGATACGGGCAAAAAGTGCCGAAAACGGTAACTCAGTTTTTAAGAGAACGGAGCGTTCGATTTGAATAATTCAAAAACATGTCACTTGTATTGACAAGATGAAGAATCGATAAAAATTTTCATGATGGTAGGTCTAGCGGTTTCGGAGATATGGAGGAAAAAGTAAAAAAATGAGCCATTTGGCGGTCAAAAATGATCATTAGACATATGCACATCAAATTATCAGATATTTTATAGAGATTTTAACAATAAGTATACATTTTGTTAACATTCCTATGGGTTCCGTACCAATGCTTATGCTTTAGACAGCGCGCGGCGCTTACGCGCTTTATATTTTGTCCCTATGCAGTTAAAGCAGTACGATTGCTTTGAAAAAAAGTTCAGATCTTCTACAATATGTCAAAATAAAGAAAAAAATTTTTTCAAAAAAAAAAAAATTAAAAAAAAAAAATTTTTTTTTAAAAAATTTTTTTTTCAAAAAAAAGTAATTTTTTTCCAATTTATAGTTTCTCAAAAATCTTATTTTTTCAAAGTAATTTTTTTTTCAAAAATGTTAATCGTTTTTAAAAAAATAATAATTTTTGGTACAGGAAGTTCCAGCAATTTGCCTTAAGGCACGATGCCTTAATTGCCTTAAGACAGAATTCCACTTACAGCTAGTCAGTTTTGTGTAAATTTGGCAACTTTTTTTTTTTTTGAAATTGAATTTGAAATGAAATGACGATTGTTAATGTTCTGGAGATGATAAATTGATTTATTTATAATTAACTTTCCATAGGGTAAGTTATAGTAATCGCAAAAAATTCGAAAATGAAAATTTTTATATATCTTTACATTTCAAAGGTTTCTGAATATGCGTACCTTAGAGAAAATTGATGTATGTGTGTGTGTATGTGTGTGTGTGTGTGCGTGAATGTATGTGTGTTCGGATACAAATTTTCATCGACGATTTCGGGAACACGGATGAAGCGAATTGAATAATTCAAAAAACATTGGATTCGTATTGATAAGGATTCGTGCTGATTAGTTTTTGGCGGAGACAGCTTAGCCGTTCTAGGGCAAAAAGTGCCAAAACGGTAACTCAGTTTTTAAGAGAACGGAGCGTCCGATTTGAATAATTCAAAAACATTTTACTTGTGTGAACAAGATGAACACTTATCAAATTTTCATGAAGATAGGTCTAGCGGTTTCGGAGATCTAGTAAAAAAAATTAAAAAAAATACCATTTGGCGGTCAACAATAATCATTAGACATATGCATATCAAATTATCAGATGTTTTATAGAGATTTTATTTTAACAATAAGTATAAGATGTGTTAACATTCCTATGGGTTTCGTACCAGTGTTTATCCGTTAGACGACGACGCGGCGCTTACGCGCTTCGATATTTAGTCACTATGCATTTAAAGCAGTACGATTGCTTTGAAAAAAGTTCAAAATTTCCAAATATTTCAAAATAAATTTTTCAACAAAAAGTAAGTTTTCGTCAAAAATTTATAGTTTCTCAAAAATAATTTTTCAGAGTAATTTTTTTTCAAAAATGTTAATCTTTTTAAAAAAAAATAATTTTTCGTACGGGAAGTTCCAGCATTTGCCTTAAGGCACGATGCCATGCGCCCCACTAGTTGAAATTTTGATTTAATTGGAAAGGAACATAATTATCATGGTTACAAGAAAAAAAGTTATAGGTAATTTAAGGATATAATTTTTAGGTAAATTAAGGGCACAATTTTTGTTATAAAAAATATTAAATTAATTAAAGTCAATATTAATAAAATATTAATAACAATATAGAAAATACAATAAACAGAGTGCTTGCTGAAATGTATAATTCATTAATTTTTGTGTTGGTTTAACAATTTAGAATGCATTGTCAAGTTCACTGTTTTTCAATTGTTTTACTCACCGCCATGATGTTTAAAGATTTTTTATTAAAATTCGTTATTTTAAATAATAATAAATAGTTCAATTCGAATTATGTAATGATAATTTTGTTTATTTGGTAGCACTACGTTTTATGGAGATTTTCCATTATTTACTAATGCCAAACTTCATTGCTATAGTTTCAAAATATTTCTTAAAGTTGTGATTTTGCATTTTCAAAAGTAATTTATGATTAGTCATGTTGTTCAAAAGTATATCTATATTTAATTATTTCTCTCTGCCATCTGTGTTAGATAATGAATAGATGCGAAACTTTCTGTTTAATGGATGGGTCAAAGTTAACGATTCATTGTAGATTTTACGATCGCGTAGTACACCACGGTCAAAGTTAACGATTCATTGTAGATTTTGTTAAATAATATATATTTATTCATGATTTTCATTGATATTTATCTTTTAAATCTTAGCGTAAAAAATAAATCATTTTGAATGCAAATCCAAAGTTGCTATTGGCCGTCAAGAGCGTCTGAGTTCTAGATCTTTTCGAAAGATTAATGGTGTGTAGTGTGGAATATTAAATATTAAACTAGTGGTGCATGCATCGTGCCTTAAGGCAACTTGCTGGAACTCCATACTTTAACATTTTCGAAAGCTTTACAATTTTTTGAAAACTTTGATAAAATTTGATTTTTGAGAATTTTGAAATTTTTGAAAAAGCTGGCCTTTTTGGGAAAATTTGTTTTTTTTTTTAAATATTTCAAAATTATTTGAAAATTTGAATGTATTATCAAAGCAATCGCGCTGCATAGCTAGCCGTTTTAGAGATAAAATATCGAAGCGCGTGAGCGCCGTTGTCTAACGGTTAACATTATAAATCTTGGTACGGAAATTATTGAAATGCAAACTAAATTTGTACTTAATATTCAAATCTTTATAAAATATCTGATAATTTTATGTGATAAATATCTGATAATTTCTTATGATATTTTTTGGCTTCCAAATAGCATTATTTTTGTTGTATTCCGAAACCGCTAGACCTGCTTTAGTAAAAATATATTTTGACACATTCAAATTGGTTGATCCGTGTTCTTAAAATCGTCTACGAAAAATTGTATCCGCATTCGCATATGACACGCACACATACATTCATTTTTCTAAAGTATGCTAAAATGTTCAGAAAACTTTGAAACGTAAAGATATGCAAAAATTTTCATTGTTGATTTTTCTGCAATTACTATAACTTACCCTATGGGAAGTCAAAAATGACTATATATTTTTGTATATTATAAGGACAGTTTTCATA